TTGTGGAGTCTCGGGTTTCTTCACGGAAAGTCTTCCTGTGGACAAGCACATTGCCTGCCTGGGCACCTTGAGGAGCCCACCTTCTTGCCACTAGATCCCCATCTGGGCCCTGAGGAAAAAATGTGGGGTTTGGTGTGTGGCCCCCATTCTGTGACCCCAGCACCCACAGGCCTTGAAGGTGGCAGCTCGCAGAGCTTGATTGGGACACGCGTGCAGACATGAGCCTGGCAAGTGTGAGTGAGTGTGTGCGTGCGTATGTATGTATGTGAGTGTGTGTGCACGGCTGGCTAGGAGTCTGGGTTTTCTTGTAGTCCTCCCTTGCCTCATGTCTGCAGGAGTCTTCAAGCCCCCAGGCTTCCTAGGCCCTGCTGGTAACTTTTCTGATTAGCAGCTTGCTGACTGGAGGTGCAGGGGGAGGCGGCTGGTTGGGAGCTGCCACCATGAGGCACACAAGGGCACCCTGCAGTGAGTGAGGGAGGCACTGGGGTAGAGCCCAGTGCCCACATGGCCATAAGAGACAGCTCCTTTTGCCTGTGTCCTGGTCTCATGGACCCTCAAATGTGGGCTCTGTTGATGAGGGAGGACCAGGTGGGAAAGTGTAGATGACTGAGGTGAGCCCCTCTCCCCTCCTGGGAAAACACGGCAGCCAGGCGCCCTTCTGATGACAGACTGGAGGAGTCACCTCAGACACAAAGGCCAGGGTAGTGTTTACAATTTTCATTAGTCCCAGGCAGGGAGGCTGGTATTTTGACTAAATTCCTTTTAGGCACTGAGAGTCTCCTTGCTTCCCTCTCTCTATCTCCCTCCCTCTCCCTATTAGGGGTTTTCTATATGGTTTACTGGGTTTTGTTACTACCCAGAAAGCCGAGCAGTGCTGCCAGTCCTTGTTACATGGTGTCAAGTTCTAATCTGGGGGCACCTTGATGAATCTGTAAGGTGTGTGACACTTGGTGGCCCCTTTGGGACTACAGGAATGGTACAGGGGCCAAGCAGACATCATCCGGCCTAAGAGGCTGAGCCTAAAAAAAAGACTCATCACTAAGGACACAGAAGCCACTAGCAAGGAGAAAGAAAAAAAATCATGGCAGACACAGAATCTATTGTTCAGAAACAAATTCGTACTCCAGAGGGAATTCTCTGGGCATTGCTTACAGAGAATAATGGGGAAAGAGTGTTTAGTACTTTGTGCCCATCCTGAGCTCTGTTGCAAAGGGCAAGGCTTGTGAAGGAGGAGGTTGGGGGGGGGGGTGCTTGCAGTGAGCCCTCTGAGTGACTCAGAGACCTGAGAGTCAGAAAGAACCTGGGTTCCACAGCAAAGAGGAAAAATGTGGCCTCTGAGACAAGGGCTTCTGCGGGGAATAGCAAATGCAGGTGTCATCCAACTTTGAGGGTCAAGAGTCAGTTATGAAAATAGAGGGTGCCTGAACTGTGCCAGGGAAAGGCCAGGCTGCCATGGATCCAGGTCTGAGCTTTGTGGGAAACAGATCAAACAAATACTGGGTGTTCCCTGTGTGCCAGGCTCCATCCTAAGTGCTTATGTGCAGAGATATGATTTCATTTAATCCTCACGACAGCTCTAGGACATACACAGGATGTCCTTCAGACAAGGAAATTTGCCCAAGGATGCACACCTACCAGGGTGCTGTCAAACCTGAGTGGGGTGACTTCAAAAGTTCTCGCCCACTAATGTGCACATGAATTATGTGGGGGGTTTCTAAATGCAGGCTCTGATTTGTAGATCTGTGGGGACAAGGCTCTAACATCTCTCAGGGCAATGCCCATGCAGTGGATGCCATGTCACACTCTGAGAAGCAAGGGTCTACACCACTGTGCCACCTCATTAAAGGAAGTCATCCTAAACCATCGGTGAGCTCACAGACCTCCTCATTTTGACACTATGAGGTAAGTGGTATCATTCCCCCTTTACAGATGAAGAAACAGAGGGCTTAGAGGGGTTAAGTCAGTTGCCCAAACCCACAGAAAGTGACCAACCTGGAGACAGAGTCTGGACTTTTAACATGTGGCACAGAGCAAAGCATTCAAACAAGACTGGGGCCGAACACAGGCACAGAGGCTGAAGAACTCTTCCTTCTTAGGGCTCAGGTTGGGGAATGAGGGAGAAAGGACACCTGCTTAGAGCTGGGATCAAGCTTCTCCCTTTCCCCGTTCTATTCTTCATGGCCCTTACCTCTCTTCCCCCAGATACTGCTGCAGGAGAGTGAGCAATGCTCGTAACTCGTGTCTCAGCCAGTACAGACGTATGCGATTTCCTCACATGCCTATAAATCCCTTCTTAAATCACGTAAAGCTATTTTCTTTTATAAATCTCCCCAGCAGTAGCTCCCTGGGATAATTATGTGATGTGATGTGATGTGTGTGTGTGTGTGTGTGTGTGTGTGTATGATTTCACGAGCCCCACTGTAACACAAAAAATCAACCTAAGTGCACTACTCAGTAATAATTTTCCCAGCCCTTGTAGGTCTGCAGCATTTAAATTTGGACTGTCCCGTTTATTTTACTTCTTTGAGAGAAGCAGCCATGGAAGGGAAGCCTTCCAGCTGGGACTTGGAAGAACTGGCTTTGAATCACAGCTGTGCCCCTCGCTAGCTTTGTGAACCTGGGCAAGTTTCCAAACTCCCCGAGCCTTAGTTTCCTCATCTGTAGAATGGGGATGCTGACAATACCTATCTCACATGGTTGTTGTGAAGATTAAATAAGCTATAACTATGTGAAGGTGCCTGGAATAAGATAGATGATCAATGAATGTAGAATCTCCTTTTTTCCTGGCAGTGAGAGAATAACTAGGACATGACTGGGTTCTCTATATCTCTCATGATTTTATGGTGTATCCTCCAACCAAACAACTAGCCATCAGTTTTGTAAAACTGCTAATTGCAAATCAGCTTGCAGCTGTAGGCGTGGATGGGCTGTGTTTAGAATCTGTTCCCTCCTGTATCATTTCAGTTTTTTGTTTAGCTTTAATTTTTGTGACTGTCTTCAGATCTCTGCCAGGCCCTTACGCCAGCTGGTCTGTCCTCTCTATGTCTAATTCACCCTCGCTGACCTGCTTTCTCAGCATATCTTTCCATCTCCTTGCAGTGTTTTCAGGAGTGTGTTTGTCTGGAAAAGCCATTTGTTATATTTACTTTAACTGGCCTCATTTGGCAAGGCGGTCCGGGATTTCAGCTTGGGAGAAAAACAGCTTTGATTATACTGCCTTTGTTTACTGTACGCACTCTTCGCTGTGCATCCCTTGTCTACTAAGACAGCAAATACTTTTGCAGAAAGCCAAGACACATGTTAAACAGAATCTCTGTCTTGAGCACACTGGCAGCCCCTGGTCCACAACTACCTCACACAGCATCTCTTTCATCTGAAAACCATGCCCCGTGCTATGGTTCAAACGTGTCCCCCAAAAGTTCATGTGGCGGAAAGTCGATCTCCATTGTAACAGTGTTAAGAGGGCACAAAATCCTATTATAGCATTTGAGAGGTGGGGCCTTTGAGAGGTGGTTACATTGTGAGGACTGCACCCTTGTGTATGGATTGATCCATTCATGCAGCAATGGTTGTGGTTGTGATGGCTTTAAAAAGAGAGCAAGTGAGGAGGTTAGCTCTCTTGCTCAGCCCATTCTTGCCAAGTGACACCCTGCATTGCTATGATGAAGGTCCTCACCAGATGTTTTCCCTGAACCTTGGCCTTCCAGCCTCCAAACTGTAAGAAATAAATTTCATTTCCTTATAATTATCCAGTTTCAGGTATTCTGTTACAAACAACAGAAATGGACTAACACACCGTGCATTTCCACACCCTTTGGTGAGTCCAGCAGGTAGGTTTCCTTGGATGGGTGTGCCAAAGTCCCCAGGAGGAGCACTGACAGGGTCCCATACCTCCGAGAGGACAGAGAACACTCCCCAACAGGCACCAAGTGGCTGAAGGCACTGCCTTAGTCCACCACCATCATCTCCCCCTTTGACTCCAGCAACACCCTCCTGACCAGTCTCCCTGCTTCTGGCCTTGCCCTCCTCTGTACAAATCTAGTCATTGCACTGCCTTGTTGAAAATCCTCTAGTGACTCCCCACTGCCCTCCAGAATAAACCCAAACCCTTTACAGGGTGTAAGGCATGACCAGGATCTCATCTCATCCCTGGCCTCTTGCAGCCTATGCTCCAGTCCTAGGGAACTTTTGCAGTTTCATGTATTCATTCATTCTAGGACCTTATACGTGTTAGCCACTGTGCAGGACCCTAGGGATTCAATGATGAGCAGAAACAAATATGGGAAGCTGTTTCCAGAGCTTTAGATCTAGGGTGGGAGACTGGAAATCAAATAGTTGTGCCCACATATGTAAAATGCCAATGTGAGGAGTGCTAAGAAGTAGGTGGTAACTGGCAGGGTGAGTGCAGGACAGGAAGCTCTGACCTTGGCCGGGAACAAGAGAGGCTCCCTGAGAAGTGACAAATGGCTGGGAGTTGCAAGGGAAGCCAATGTCAACTAGGTAAAGAGGGTGGTAGATGTGCCTGTTGGGGAGGGAACAGCATGTGCCAAGCCCTGCGGCAGGAGGGACTGAAAGAAGCAGACTGCAGGCCTGAAGCACAGAGAGCACCGGTGGGGCAGTGGGGCGTGGAAACCAGGCAGGGCCTGCTGGGCCACTCTAAGGGTCTGGGGTTAGCCTAAGAGCAATGGGAAGTCCCTGGAATGTATGCACAATGTGATGGCATCATCAGGAATGCACTTTGAGAAGACCACTGATGGAGTGTAGAGTGGGACAGACAGGGCAGGAGAGAATGTGGGGAGGTTATTGCAGTGGTGGAGGTAAGAGGTGATAGTAGTTTAGACCAGGAGATGGCAGTACGGTGGACACATATTTGATAGATACATAAGATTAAATCAATACAATTTGCGATGGGTTAGACATGGAGTGGGTAGGTTAGAGAGAGAGCTGTGAGAGTGTAGACTCAGTGACCTACGAGCCCCCAAGAGATAGGTCTTACTCACCTGTGAGGGTGGCCCTGGTGGTTGGACCGATGCTCTTGGGGACCAGCACCTCATGGTATTGCTCACCAGCCAGGGTGCTATACACAACCTTGTACTCCTGAACCTCAGCCTCGCTGTTATCCCACTCGAGGTCAAGGCTGCTTGCCGTGCGGGAGCCAACCCGCAAGTTCTTGGGGGCATCAATCTCTAGAAATAGACAGACAACACCAACATCACATTTGTGGTGTGTCTTAGACCTTAAAAAGTTTTCAGGTGAGAGCGCCCACCCCTGTCCCCCTGCCTCACATGCAAGGCTGCCCTTGGGTTTTTGGTCTAGCGTGACAAATTCCTTGGGCAGATTAGAGAGTTTTACTTGGAAGTCAGATATCATTGCACTTTATGCTTCTCCCATTTCTGTTCAAGAATTCCAGTAGTGTTCTAGAAACTTTAAAATGAACCAGTTAATATCACAAGCTTAAAAATAAAGCATGGGAAACCCTGGTAGAAGAAAATCAGAGATGGCTCCTAAGTGATTAAGGTGGAAGAGAGTGACATCCAATTTGACCACTAAGCAAAAAGAAGATGGCTCATATCAAGATTTTGAAGCATAAACTGTCTTCCCCTGGGCTGACTTGCACAGACACTGCCGGAAGTTTTGTGGGCTGGAAAATTAAGACATGTTTAAAGGATGTGAGGCAGTGAAATGAGTGTGGGCTTTGGAGTCAGGCCTCGGTTTCATTCCCAGCTCTGACCCAGTGATGGGACCATGGACAAGTCTTTGAATATCACGGAGCCTTGATGGCCACCTCTGTAAAGGGGGCAGATAATTCTGACATTTCAGGTGCTTGTACATATAGATCTGCAACATAACCAGCGCCATCTTAGATAAGCACCAGCACAAAATAGCAGCCAGCTTCGTCTTCCACTCCAGCACCCAGACCCTCCCCCTTTCCCTTTAGGAGAAGCCTCCTGACTTAGAAACAACTTTCCCACTTCTGCATTGGTGCAGTTCTCCACCCAGTTACATCAACCTAATGGTCCCTCCCCCATACATTTCATGCCCAAAAGCTAATATAAACTCTTGCAAACCCATTGCTGGGGCTGTCCCCCATTTTCAGGGCAGCCCCGGGCTGTCCTCCATTTTGAGTACAGCCTGGCAGATTTCTTTCTTTAATAGAGCTTGAACGGTACCCAGCATCTCAGCTCTCCACCCAGTTACATCAACCTAATGGTCCCTACCCCATACATTTCATGCCCAAAAGCTAATATAAACTCTTGCAAACCCATTGCTGGGGCTGTCCCCCATTTTCAGGGCAGCCCCGGGCTGTCCTCCATTTTGAGTACAGCCTGGCAGATTTCTTTCTTTAATAGAGCTTGAACGGTACCCAGCATCTCAGCTCACTTTCCTTCAGTACAGATAGACTATGCAAATGAACTGTGTGGCCCGGTGCCTGGTGCAAACACAGGTGCCCAAGATGGCTCACTGCCTGTTGCCACCGAAGCTCTTCCTGAGGTTCACCAGCATGGCACTCCCAACACTTGCTCTCTGGGAATCCAAGGATTCTGAAGCCATGAAAGAAGCATTGCACTGGGTTCTCTCCCACAGTCCTGGGGGGCTGCTTCTCTCTCCAGGACTGGCCATCTCCTCAGGCTTATCAGGGCAGAAACAACTTGCAGTGTAATAAGGTACTGCCCTGAAAAACTTCCACTTAAAAAGTTCCAGATAGTTCTTGTCTTTGAGGCTTGAATTTCACTTTGGAGTGAACCATTTGTTCTGAGAAAACCTCCGTGGACTGTTTTAATTTGCAAATAAATGCGAGGCAAGTATCCACCGTTGTTCTTGTGGAAGACTGGAATGCTGTGAATCAATCTGAATGCAGAGGCTTGGGAGTGAGAAGTGTTCTGTTTAGTGATGCAAATTGGGTGAATCTTTTAGCAGATTTATGTCCCTGCAGCTTATTTTTCTGAGAAAAGTCTTCTCACTCAATGTATTTTAGCAAACCAGATAAGGTGTGTGCTCTCTCTCCAGCAGTTGGATGGACAGAAGAGCTTGGATAGACACACGTGTGGAGGGACGGCTGGGACCACCCGCCCCTGAATCGCATGCGTGGGGAGCAGATGGTCATAGGGACCAGACTGGGCTTGGGATGCATGGCCTGAACTGAACTGGAGCAGAAAAATGTTAGAGTTAGGGTTAAGGTTGAGACCTGTACCTAGTGTTCTTCATCAATAAAAAACTCACACCTCGGAAATGTTAGACTATGGTTTTTGTTTTTTGGTCATAGGGCCTGTGCCCTGCGGATAGGGGCCTGTGTTTTCTCTAAAAGGACCAGACATTTCCAATGTCAAGGACCATAAAAGAGGTAAGTCTTAGAACGAGGGCTTGGATGGTAGATCTTAGAAGTGAGGTTGTTGAGGGGTTAGAAATCTTAGATTCTCATTTGATTTTAGAATAGCGTTTTTAGGTAAATGCATGCATGGGGCAAAAGTCCTGGACAGGGGGCCACAGCCCACAGATAGTGTGGCCAAAGCCCATCTAATCAACTCTTAATCACTGTTTGTATGTTTTTTAATGTTTTTAGAGATGACAAGTGGTTGTCTTACAGATCCTGTTAGGAGATTTTAAGAATGTTTTTTAATGTTTTTAGAGATGACAAGTGGTTGTCTTACAGATCCTGTTAGGAGATTTTAAGAATTACTGAGGGGAAAGTTGTGGAAAAAATGTTTGCTAGGGGCAAGCTGTCTGTTGGGGGAAACTTTAGAGATAATTGTATTTAGATTTTATCATTAGAATGTAACTTTTGCTTAAGGAGAGGTCATACTGTAGATAATGAGCCAGTTTGACCAACTTAGCTTTTCACTAATTGTACTTTGGAATGTCACATTGTTAATTTTACTGATGTTACTAGTTTCCATTATTAAGGTATACTTAGCCATAGATAACTTTTGTAGCATTGCCCATGTCCTTATGTCCTTTTGTAATGATTGAATCAACTGAATTTTCTTGTGAAACTTCCTTGTCTTTACAATAAAAAAACAGAAGCTAACTTTGAATCGGTGCTGTTACATTCAGCTTTCTCCTTCTAACCGAGGAGTTGCTGAGGTGCAGTCCCTCTGGGCTTCTCAACACATTCATGGTGCTTTGAGTAATCCTTTTCCGAGTCTCTGTTACACAGGGAGATGTGTAACATGAGGTGACATTGTTTGCTCCCCCTTGTAGGGCCCCATAAAACCCCAAAGGAGACATTCCCTAAAACATGGCGCCTTTCCGGCTTCTCTTCCGGGTCCTAACGTTCCCGCCGGCGCCAAAGTACGGCCTATCAAAATCATCACCCGCCCTTCCGACCAATCAGCCACCGCCCCACGTACTAACCACCCTCTCCCAGAACGCAGCTCTCTATAAATGTATGCTTCACCCTCAAATAAAGCGGAACTTCTCCGGTGAACTGTCAGCTCGGGTCCTGTCGTTCTTTTACCCCTGACCTTGAAGCCTGACCTCTAGGAGGGGAAGCTGCAGGACACCCCGTGGGTGGGTGCTGAGCTGGTGTCTGCGACACATCAGCAGGACAGGCCTGAGGCAAAGACAGCTGTCTAGTGGGGTCCTGCGGAGGGACTTGGGACTGAGGACTCCGGTAATAGCCATATCTAGACTCTGAAACATAAATTGGATCAAGTGATTCCTCTCCTTAAAACTTTCCTGTTGCTCCCTGTAACAAACCCCTAATCATGGTCTGCAGGGATCTGTGTGGTCTGGCCCTGCCTCCTTCTCAGACATCATCCGGTAACACTCTTGCCTCTTTTCTTTTTTTTTTTTTTTTGTCTTTTTTTCGTGACCGGCAACGGATCGCAACCCTCAGTGTCGCGCCCGCACCGGACCGGGACCGGCAACGGGATCGCAACCCTCGGCGTTGCCCCCGCTCCTTGCTCAAGCCACGCTCCCAAGCGGCGCACTGTAGCAGTGCGCCACCGGGCCAGCCCTGCATCTCTTTATTTTTAAACTTGATGGTTTTAAACTCAAATTTATTTCTCAAAGTAATATATATACATAATTTTTTTCCTTTGTTTGTTTCTTTCTTTCTTTATTTTTTTTCCTTTAAATTTTTATTTTGTCGATATACAATGTGGTTGATTATTATAGCCCATTACCAAAACCTCCCTCCCTCCCCCCTCTCCTCCCTCCCACCCAACAATGTCCTTTCTGTTTGCTTGTTGTAACAACTTCAAAAAATTGTACTTGTTATAACTTCTTCTCCTCCACCCCCCGGTTTTTTTTTTTGTGTGTGAGGGAATTTATTTATTTATTTTTACCTGCCACCAATAAGTGAGAACATGTGGTATTTCTTTTTCTGTGGCCTCTTTTCTTTTTTTTTTTTTTTTGTCTTTTTTTCGTGACCGGCAACGGATCGCAACCCTCAGTGTCGCGCCCGCACCGGACCGGGACCGGCAACGGGATCGCAACCCTCGGCGTTGCCCCCGCTCCTTGCTCAGCCAGTGAGCGGCCGGTCTGTATGTGGGATCCGAACCCTCGGCGGGAGCGCCGTCGCGCTTCCCAAGCGGCGCACTGTAGCAGTGTGCCACCGGGCCGGCTTTTCTACTCCTGAAACACATCAAGCTTATTCCTACCGCAGGGTCTTTGCACTGGCTATCACCTTTGCCTGGAATGCTCTTCTCTAGGTCCTCACATGGCTTAGCTCACTTAGGACTTAGTTAAAATGTCACCTCTTCAGAGAGACCTTTCCAAACCCTTCATCCAATGTGGCCTTCCTTCTATATCATCCATTCCACTTCTCATCACAGTACTCATGACTGAAGTGATCACGTATGTTTCCTTTCTTCCTCATTGTCCAGTTTCCCCACTAGAATGTAATTCATGTGAAGTAGGATCTTGTCTGTTTTATTTGTTCTGTAGCCTCAGTGCCTAGAACAGTGCTTGGTACCCAGTAGGTGTTCAAAACATACATGCTAAGTGACTAAATAAATATTATCAGTTGTATGTTTTCTTTGCTACCTTAAAGCCTTTAGCAGAGTCTTGTTAAATATTGTAGCTGTGGGCTTAGAAGACGCTTGGGTGAGGTGGTGCAGGGAGAACAGCTTTGACTGAGGGCAGCTGGTCTTTCAAGGGCAGGAGCCCTTTCTGCCATCTGCAGCCAGAATCTTGCTGAGTTGGCAGGTGCCATCCATGTTGAACTTGCGAAAGAATTTCCTGGAGGATCCCAGAGTAGAATCATTGCCAAGCAGGTGGGGGCTTGAACTGCTGTGACTTGGGCCTTCCTATTTGTTTTCTAGGGCTACTGTAACAAGGTACCACAAACTGGGTATCTTAAACAATAGAAATTTATTGTCAGACATCTGAGATCAAGGTGTCAGCAGAGCTGCTTGCTTCTGAGGGCTGGGAGGGGCAATCTGTTGCACGCTGTTCTCCTGGCTTCCAGTGACCATCTGGTGACCTTTGGCATTTCTTGGCTCATAGAAGAATCACCCAGTCTCTGCCTTCATCTCCACATGGCATTCTCCTTGTCCGCATCTGTCTCTGTGTCCAAATAGTCCCTTTTTACAAGGACACGGTCATATTATCTAATTATCTAATCTTAATTTACTTATCTGCCAAAACCCTATTTCCAAATAAGGTCACATTCACAGGTACTGAGGGTTAAGACTTCCACATCTTTTCAGGGGACACAATTCAACCCATATCAGCATTAAAGAGAAGTCAAAGCAGCAACCTCCTGTTGGCCAAATGCCCTGTTGCCTGCGCTTGGTGCCTTGAGGGATATGGGCTAAGGGAAGGTCTTTGGTGGAGAGAAAACAGTCCCAGGAGCTCCCCCCACCCCCTCCATTAGAGCAACTGAAACCAGAGCTGCTGAGGGGAGGGAGGGTGTGGAGATTGGCCTCCAGGTTTCCTAGGGCTGGCTTCTCCCCAGTCACCAGCCTTGCTGTGCTTCGATCAGGGCTCTTTCCTTTTTCAGAGCAGCTCTATGACCAGGCAAATATCCCACTCACCATGCGGGAAGCAAATCTCTGTTTTAATTGCCTGTGCAATTAGTGCACTCCTATTGTGGAAGCCATCACCTGGAAAAGCTCTTTGGTTAATTTGAATTTAAGTGGAGTTCTGAAAGGACTGAGGGCCCTGCTGTGAGGGTCTGGGCACCCTCTCATCACTCAACTGCACCTGCCAACCCCGGGCCTAGACGATCTGTTTCCAGAGTTGTTTGTCTCTCTGCCCTTCCTCCTCCTCACCCTCCTGGAGCAGAGGGGAGCGGGTCTGAGGTGCAGGCTGAGGCTGCATTGAGAAGGCAGCCACCTAACTGCTGCCAATTTACCTGGCAACCGGAAACAGAGAATCACACAGCGACGAACTGAAACTCAGGGGGAGCTCCTAGGAGGTGGAATGTGAATTGTCTGGATTGGAATTTTCCTGGGCCACTGGCCAACCCTGCTTCCATCCTGTCGGCCTGGACATCAACAATTTGCTTTTCATCACACTGCTCAAGAGCTCTCTTCTCCTTCAAACTCCTTATCAGAGCAGAGCACAAAGAAACCACTTTTCAAACACAAACTATCTTGAAATTAGGAATAGAATGCAGGACTCACAGCCCACAGGAGATACCCCCACCCTAAGTGAGTGGTGTTGTGGGGGTGGGGAGGAAAGGCTGACCTTGAATAAGCCAAGAAGGGACACCGTGTGATGTCCTTCCTCATGATCTGTTCTAAACATTTTTGGTTAAGTGAAGAAGAAGGAAAGAAATAGGGGCAGAATTTAGTTTTTTTTTCAAGGAGCACACTCAGTCACTGGGGATCCCAAGATATGTTTGGTGAAAAATCCCACTGGCCACCCCCTGGGTTGAGGTGGGAAGGGGGTTGGACAGAAATCCTAAAAGGATCCCTTTCAGAATCAAACCCTGCCTTCTCCAGCTCATCAATGTCTATACTTGCTTCCTTTTAGGGGGGAAGCTTTTCCCCCTCCTGATGTTTCCTTCCGTGGGGGGAGGAGGCCTATCATAAGACTCCTGGCCTCTTTCTTTTACTGGGGAAGATGGACTTACCTAAATGGTGAGATTCACCGCAGGACCTGGGCATGGCCCTTCCGCTCTTCTCTCCCATGGGACGGGCTGCCCCCAGGGATCAGCCATTGCCTATTTCTCCATGCTGATAGTCTGGACCTGAGTAGTCTCCCACCTTCTGCCCCATGGGGAGACTTGCCCAGGTCCACAGGGGCCATTCAATTTGCAAACCCATCTGGCTGTCACCCTGAGCTACATACTCCAATCTAGAAGATACTTTGGCGTCCATCTGTCTTACTCTTTGTCTTACCTATCAGTTGATTTTAAACACAGGAAGAGCAGAGGGATGCTATTTATTGAGCCTCCTTGAAGCCTCTAGACTTACTCTATCCTGTAATTGGCTCTCATGCTGCAACCCAGGATAGGATGATTGAATTAGTGATTCTCCTAATTTACCCTGTCAGAAGATGCTTGTTCTTAGATCTTATAGATGCTATCAGTTTCTTTTGATCCCTGGGACAACATGTGAGTTGGCAGAGACATTCCTTGACATGTGATCTCCCAAAGGCAGAGAGGCTGAGACAGAGAATGTGGATTAGCTAGAGACTCAATAACTAATCTGATCACAGGTCCCTGTTGACCCAGTAAGGGTGCCAGGAAACCTGTCTTTTGGATGGGGCCTGTCCTACTTGCCCACTAACTGGACAGACTGATGGGAACTGAGGGTCAGGGAGCAAGTTATGCTGGGACCTGGCCTTTTCTGACTGTTCGGGAAGTTCTTTAAAGGTCTCAACAGCCTTGGGAAAGGGGGGTGGTCATCACAGCAAGGCAGGGGATATTTTTATGGGCTTTTTCCAGCCTCCCATCTATGGGAATCAGGCCTCATATGAGCCTTATTGTTAGCACTTCCACATGGCAAGTGAGCCACAGAATCTGTCAGAAGGTCTGCTGGGGTTGTGCAGGTGGGCTTTGGGCAATGCCATGATGCACCACCATGGTGGTGTAGTCATTGCAGATTTATAGAATTATTACAACAATTTCCAGCAAATGGCAATAAAGTATCTTGAGGAAGGGGCACCTTCTCTTGAACCCTCTCAGAATTGTCATCTGGGCTAGCAATATGGATGCTTAGATGTCTTCGAGACAAACTTGTCATTGTACAACTGAGAAATGTGAGACCCTCAGGGTGAAGGGACTTATATCAAGTCACAGATCTGGCTGGTAGCAGAGATAGGATGAGAGCCAGCTCTCCTTGCTGCAGGTGCACTGACTGCTTCCCCTCTGTGCTGTGGGGTCTGCATCAGCAGGAGCCTGGAGCCTCTCGCTTCCTCCTTGCAGTGTCTGTGATCACGCAGAGGCCCAAGCACGTCTCCTCTCACCCCACCCATACTCCTCCTGCCATGACCACAACTCCAGTGGCCTCCACCCCCCCACCCCCCTCCCCCTTACCTGTAGTAAACTGGGTGGTCGTGGAATCGCTCTCGTTGGTCCCTCGGACCGCGCTGACCGACACCTCGTAGCGGGAGCCAGGCCGCAGGGCCTGCACAGAATATTGGCTCAAGGGGGGCTGTAGCCGGAAGGTGGTCTTCCCACCTTCCCCGCCCACCAAGCCATATTTCAAGAGAATGAAATCGACTTTGGCTCGAGGTGGGGTCCACTCCACAAAAGCCACGGTGTCAGAGACATCTCGAACCAGGATCTGCGTGGGCCCGTCGATGACTGAATGAGAAGGATCAAATAGAATAAAAAGTGGGATTGAGAAATAAGCCTTCAGTGTCAGCTCTCTCCTTTCCTCCTTACGGTAGTCTGGATGGGTATTAAGATGCCATTTTACAGAAGGGGAAAATGAGGCACAGTAGGATAAAACATCTTTCCTGAGGATATGTAGTTTGGCAAGAGGGGAGCTGAGCTGACAAAGGAACTCAGTTTCCCTGAATCTTGGTCTAATTCTCCTTTTACTAGGCTGTGGTTTTCAGGTGCTGGCATTTCCCAGTCTTGGCAGGGGAAGGGCACTTACTGGCTTGGGAAAGTCATCCTTGTTTCCTTCTGGAGGTAATGGGGCAGAGAAGTGAAGACTGAGCTTGGGGTGTGTGCCTGGTGCTCAGCCTTAGCCTTATTTACAGCCCTGAGGAAAGACTAGGAAATGACCAGCCCTGTCTAAACATCCAAGACTTCCAACTTGGTTGCCTAAGACGACATCATGAGTATCCAAAAGTTGTCTCTGCTCAGCCACACTAATAGCCTAGTCAACCCAGCTGCTAAGACTGTAGCAAAACCCAAAAGACATTTGCACTTGTAAACATGAAACATTCCTTCTAGGGAAACTTGCTCCTTTGAATAAAAAGAACCCCAGCTTTGAAACAGTTTCTTGCGGGTCATTTTTTTCCACCTGTTCTTGCATATTCCTGAGCTGGAAGGGCTCTGCAGTCACACATAGGTCTTTGAGGTTCCCCAGCATGTGTCTCTCATAAGCCCTGGCTTCTGGTGCTGTGCAGCTGAGGGACACCGAGAAAAACTGGCTGGTTTCCTACAGGGCCCACCATCTGTGGTTCCAGCACCCACATCGGGTCCTGCCCAAATTGAATTAGATGATGGGAGGGAAGGGACATGAGGGAATGTAGAAGGAGAATAGAGAAAGAAAGGGCTTAGTGAGGAGAACAGAAAATGATCTCAACTCCTCATGGGACGTCTGCATGGCCAATATGCCCTTTGAGAATTACCCATCACTTGCTAAAAGACTAGGCCCGGCCACCATGTTGACATCACTATGTGACTATGCCCTCTGGCTGGAGGTGACTAGTATTAATATTGATTTTCTTCAAGGGTTTGTAATTAAAACCAGAAACTCTAGTTCTCTAATTAGTTGGGGCTTGTATGGCAGGGCTGGTGTGGTTATTCTCTACCATACTCATATAGAAATAGAAAACATCTGATATAAAGAAGGGGGGGTGGGGAGAGAGAGAGAGGCAGAAATGAGTGACCATGTGGAGCTTCTAGAAAGATACAGAGAGTAACTCAATTCCTGAAGTTCTGTTTGCTGGTTCAAGTCTTTTGTGAGGCCCGGATGCATTTCTGGCCCTGAGGTTCCTATGAGACATTCTATATCCTTCCAGTAAATTATCTCTTTTGCTTCAGCTAGTTGAAGTAAGTGTATCTTCCTTGTTACCAGAGAGTATGTCTTGACTGAGGCTTTTTTTTTTTCTAACCAGTCCACACTGAGCCACTTTCTATTCTGCATCCAGAATGAAGTGTCTCTCTCGGGACTGTCTCAGGCTGATCTCGGACCTCTCAGTTTTTCAGAGTTGGGCCTTCACAACTTTCCACCACACCCTCTTTCTGGGTCTAGCCCAGTCCCATTTAATCTTAAACAGCTTAGGGTTTTTGGTCTAGAACCAGCTAAAATGAAAATCGCCAGACCATTTTGGTGCCACCTGGTTTGGAGTTAAAATGAAGTCCAGGCTTTCATATATAAGGTAGTAATGGGATTTAACAGCACACATCCAGACGGTTTCTTTTCAGCATGCTGCACTTGGTGGTTTTCGATAACTTGGGCCTTTAAAATTTAATTTAATTTAATTATGAAATGGGGGAAAGAGTCTCCTCAGTGCTGTATGAGCATAATGCCTGAAACATGGTAGACACTCGGTTAATGAGCGCTGAGTAAATGAAACCAATGGATGATCCTCTTTATCCACGAGAAAGAAGGGGAAGCATTTGAATGAACTGGAGCTTTTTTTAAATTTATTTTTTAAATAAAAGGTGTGTAGAAACTCAAACGACAACATAAGCCACATAAGGCTTTTGTCCTTCAACTCTTTAAATCCAAAATACCCTAATCATAATGGATTGGCCATATTAGTATGTGATTATGTAGCACAGAGGGCTCTCGCTGCAGGAGGTCTTGTCATTTGCATTCACGAAATGGCCTGCCTGGAAGGAGCCAGTCCGAGTGGCTGATGAGGGCGCAGGGCTCCGCAGTAGGGGGCTGGTGTAGGTCAGACCCTCGCAGAAGGAAATAATTAAACAATTGTTTCCTGAAAACAGCAGACAGGGTTGGGAGCCAGCCATCCTTTCTGCAGCCTCTCTTGGTTTCTGCCCTTTGGCTGGCCACTTGGTAGCAACGTCCCATCCCAATCAAGGAGGTATCAGCTTGCTTTCAATTTAGCTCTAATTTCTAAACAAACACAAGTTCTACTCAAAAAGTAAATTGGAATAAATGTTTTTCCATTTCTTCATGACTGCATATAATGCCAAAATATTAACTAGGGCCTTTTTTTCTTAACTGGAAAAAATCCTGTATGGCTTTACCACACATTTCTAGATCTGAAACTTTTAATTTTAATCTTAAGGAACCCCCAAATACTGCAAATTTTGTAAGAGTGTGATTTGAATGTGAGACCAAGGCAAGGTTGGACTACCTTCTCTAAGTACTCTCAACACTTTAGGAGGAACAGACTCTTCACTATAACGTTCTCTGTCTTCTTATGAACCATCTTCTCCTGCTAGCCTTTTGTCTTCTACTAATGCTTTCTTAATATCAAATCACAGGAATGACTTGGGGACCCTGAAACAGTCCATATCAGAAGAGGAGAATCCACACACGCTGTTGTTGGGGCTCTGAACACACTACGCCAAAGTACTGATGTGCTGAGTACTTTGAATTAAAGGAGATTGGAAGGGCCTCAGGAGCAAGGTCTTCTGACCTTCCCCATCCTCCTGTCTCCTGCCCAGCTTTCTCCTCCCTAAGAGATTCACAGAAACCAAAATCACTCTTCCCAAGGTGGGCCATAGAAACTAGAACACCTCCTGCAAAGCGAGCCAGAAAACCTACAAAAGTCACTCTCTCCCTTCTCCCTTCTTTGTTAAAGATCCTCATTCCAGAGGGGTTGTGGCCCACACCTGGGAGGAAGGAATGCTACACGGAGAGAAGAAACTGAGCAGACAGGTCTAGCTGGGTTCTCCACCCTGCCCACCCAATCAGTCTATCACTCTTAGATCATACCCTTTGTCCAATCATATTTCTACCTGGCTGTCCATTCTTTATCAAACCGAAGCATAAAAATAGACAATTTTCCCTAGGTTTTTGAGTCTTTATTTCTGAAGACTCCCGTGTCACTTGAAAATTTGATTAAATAAATTTGTTATGCTTTACTTGTTAACCTATCTTTTGTTATAGGAGTGTCAGCCGTGACCCATAGCAAGGAAAGGTATCACAGCTTTCCTCCTTCTACATTATTAAATGTCAACTCTTCAGGTTCCAGCACAAAAAGTTGTGGGAAAACTACAGCCACTGGCTTTCTAGAGAGATTCCTACAGAACACTTTAGGTTTTATGGCTCTGGGTTTTCTTTCAAAATATATTTGGATGAGAACAATGGTTTTAAAGCATTTTTTTGGGGGGGGGGGGGGCTGGTAAAACTTTTTTTTTTTTTTTTTAAAGATGACCGGTAAGGGGATCTTAACCCTTGACTTGGTGTTGTCAGCATCATCTCACCAAGTGAGCAACCGGCCATTCCTATATGGGATCCGAACCCGTGGCCTTGGTGTTATCAGCACCACACTTTCCCGAGTGAGCCATGGGCCGGCCTGGTAAAACGTTTTTTTAATGAACAAAATCTTAAATTGCTATACAAAATATAAAACAGATCAAGGTGAAGCTGCCCTGGTTGGAGGCATGGAAGAGGGAGAAATTAGAGGCTTGGATCTGCACCTGATCCTAGCATGGAGACACTCCCATAGAACACTCATGCACTAATGGAACATAAACCAACACCACAATAGTTATAAATCAGTGTTTTCTAGACTGAGCATAAGCCTCATAACCTGATGTTGTTTAGTTTGGATCCAAGTAGCAAAGTATGAATCACTAATCCATGAACATGGTCTCCTTACAAAGTGTTGTGATTCCCTCTTGTGGCCAACTCGTCCTTACAACTGGCTTTCTGGGGTGGCTATTTCTGTTTATGAAAAATAAAGTCATACCAATATTCACCATTCTCAGTGTTTCTTACTGAAAGCAAAAATTGCTTAACTTCTGAGTCTCAGCTCTCCCATCAATAAAATCAGAACCAAAAATAGTACCAGATGCTATTTATAACTTTTGAGACATTCTTGGCGAGGGGCACACACACATGCATCACAATTGCTAATTTACAGCATTGAAGTTGGACATCCTTTGTTAGCTAAAATAACAATAAGGTGAAATATGACACAGATAATGGATCAGTCCTGGAAATATAATAATCTTGAATGAGATCAGCTGTGGAGATGAAATAATAATGAACTTAAGTCATCACCTTGAACAGTGACCCACTCTGTACCTGCTGACTTTGAATGACTTTTTTCCTCCTGCTCTTACTTCTAAATGTTCTCTGGATATGTGTGTGTACACACTAAGCACTAAGCACTCACTCTCATCAAGACAGGGCTAATCACTTTGTGTGTTTTATCTGATGGAATCCTCATGTCAACTTAATGAAGGAGGTATTACTGCTCATCACTGTAAAACGAATTGAGGTTTGGGAAAGTTTAGCCTTTTCCAAATCTCACAATAGATGAGAGCAAGTCAACTCTTGCTGGTTCCAAAGCTCATGACACTAGGTTGTTGACAAATGAAGCTTCTTAATGAGTAAGATCACAAGAACACTCTCCCAGATTTCTGTGCTTGCAAGGATAAGAAGTAAGGAAGATAATCAGCTAAGCATCTGGTAAAGAGCTCCATCTCTAGGTCCTAGCTCTGGGAGGAATCCTAGCACTTCTTTTGTCTTTCAAGTTCATGGGCAATTCTGTGGTTCCTTTTCCTGAGTGACACAATGGGGAGGAGTGTTGGAGGCACTCACTGGTGGAGACGCTGGCCGAGGTCGGGGGACTCCGGGCTTGTTCTTTCAGAGCCACCACATTGACAATATACTCCTCCCCAGGCTTTAGTCCCGTCTGGTTAAAGGATGTCACATCACTGGGGAGCTGAGCAATCACTCCCCCTTCGTTGTTCTGTGGGGTGGGGAGAAGCAGAGAAAGCAAAAGAGAAAAGTCATTGGGAGAGAAATCCGATGAAAGATAAAGGTGTGGAACAGTGGCTGTGAACTGGGAATTAAAAATGGGGCTATATCTGTTCCCTGCATGCTGACAGCTAAGTGTCTGGGGCCAGGAACAGCTCTCAGAGGGCTCAAGAGGAATGCCACCACTCTATGAGGATTTGGCAAATGGAGAACGAATTTTCAAGAACATTTCTTTGGCCTCTCCTGAGTTTGCTGAGTTTGGCAATAAAAATTAGTCATGAGGGCCGGCCTGGTGGCGCACTGGAGAGTGTGCCACTTGGGAGCGCGGCGGTGCTCCCGCCGAGGGTTCAGATCCCATGTGGAGACTGGTTCCTACTCACTGGCTGAGCGCGGTGCGGGCGCAGCACCGAGGGGTGTGATCCCGTTACCGGTCAGTAAAAAAGACAAAAAAGGAAAAAAAAAAAAATTAGTCATGAGGTGTTGCAGTTTGGCTCTTGCCAAAGATTGAATGTTTGATGGTTGAGGTTAACATCCATCAGATTTTTATTTTGAGGGGCATTTATCATGATTAGCATGCCCTTGGCTATTTAGAAGAGTATAGTTGTGGGTGTTTGTGTGTAAACGATTTTATATATACACACATGACCTCGTTCAAACAAAGACATTCCCAGTTTTGTTTTGTTTTGTTTTTGTTTTGAGAGAGAACTGTTATTTTGCTGTATCTGGAGTTTCTCATGGCATTACATTGGGTGCAAACCTGTCAATGTCTTATTTCCCTTTCACTCAGATGAGTTAGGACTCCGCGACACAACCAATTATGAAGTTCAAAGAAAAGAAAAAAAGGAAGCATGGAACACAGAAAAATACAAAGGAGAGAGGGAGGAGACAAACTGGTGGAAACGGAAATGAAAAAGAGCGACTTGATGATGTTGGGTCCAGGATGTATTATTTTCTTTCCCTTTCTTTCTTTCTTTTTCTCTTTCTTTCTTTCTTTCTCTCTCTTCCTTCCTTCCTTCCTTCCTCTCTCTCCCTCGTTCTCTTGCTCTCTCTCTATCTCCATAAATCACAGATCTTCTATGAATGTCCTTGGAAATGGAGGAGACAAGAAGGACCTTTTTGTGGCACTGCCCTTCTCCTTTATTCTTTGGTTTCTATTTATGTCACCCAAAGTGCCCATATGTAATTTATAGCCATACTCTTATCAATCAGTGTGATAGATATTCCCCCCGCCACGGCCTCAATCTACAGATCACAATAGTTACTCCATGTGGCCATGTGTTTGATCTTGGCATGCCCTTGCCAGCCCCTGTTTTATTTAGAGTTTTACATTTTGGATGTAAAAACAGTAGAACCTGGCATATCATATTGGGGTGACATGATTCTTTCTTCTCTATTGTAAACCCAGTTTCCTGCCATACTTTATCGGCCATTAAAACTCAGATAAGACATATAGTATTTTATAGAATGTCTGTTTAGATGTATTTAGCTTGCCAAGATATGACCATACCCACATAAGAGAATGGAGCATCCTGGTTTAGTGAACAGAGCCCTGGAATAGGAGATAGAGATCCGGGTTCTCACTGTAAGCCTGTCTTCATAAGCTAAACTAAACTAGACATGAAATGAGGGGTCATACTCTGTGACCTTGAAGATCTCTTGTAGTCCCAACAGTCCGTTGCTCTAAGAATCTTGAAGTAAAAGAATGGTGAAATCATAATCTCGTTATCCAAAAATGGGTCATTTTTCATTAACTCTGATGAACGACTAAAACAATGCTCTTTGAAGTTGAAGGATGGAGACAGAGGGAAGGAGCATGGTTGAACTTTATATCCCCCCTGAGAGGTATAGTGGGGGAGAACATCAGCAGGGCCAGCAAATGCTGGAAAACTAGAACTAGGCAGGTCCCTGTGGCAATTTGGAAAAGTTAGTTTCAGGATTAATAGGACACTGCTTTACAGAGTAGAAAGAAATCTTAGGATACTTTAAAACTCACAGACCAATAATATAATTTGTTTAAGGAAAATGTTGTTTTTAATTAGTAGGTTACAGACTCATTATGACTAATTCAGGAAAGCCAAGGTGCTTCTGTGCTGCATCTAACATTCAATCTCTACGGAAGCCATGCAAACTGACTTTTGGTGCATCCGTCTGCACAGAATGAAGCTGGGGACTGACTATGGAACTAATTTGGTTGGGCTTTCCTTATGTCCTAAAGAGAAGCCCCAACTTTTTGAGGGCCTGGTTTTCATACTAACAAAAATTAGAGCTCACCAAACCCTAGAACTGTCTCAGTAGAGAGCTGGAGCTGGTGGCTGCTTCCTGCATCCTCCTGTTTTCCAAGGCCAGGGTGCCATGCTTGGGGCACCCTTTGTGAAAGAAGTGTTCTAGAGCCCAGATACCCACAAATGCCCCTTGGTGTCTTTAATGGCCCGTAGAGAGAGATTGGGTGGTGCCTTCCTTGCTACCCTAATTTCAAATTGAGGTACGAATACTCCAAATAAGGCTGTTCAGCAGTCTGACAGGTGAGCATTACCTTTGGAATGAAGCTGATCTCCCATCCATCGAAGGAGAACGAGAAGGACTCCCACTGCACTTCCACAGTGGTCTCTGTGATCGTCTTGAATTGTAGCCCTTGAGGAGTGGAGAGATCTGGAACATAGCAACACAGGTGACAATGTCATGGCTCTCCCTGGCAGGGACAGAGAGCATCGCCTGGTGCTTTGTCTGGTGAACTCCCTCCACAGCGTGGACATGGTGGTATGTTGTGGACAGTCCCAATCTTAACTACGCACACAGTGAGCTCCAGGTGCAGGATCTGCCTGCTGCATCGTGGCCCTGGTGCCCAGCATTGGTGGAACACATGCGTAAACTTAGACACCATCTATATAAATAATTTGTATGCATTCTATTACATACTAGGTTGATGCTAAAATACAAAAGTTACACTTTCCTTTCCTTACGAATGTGAAAAATCTTGGCATTTGATATATAATCTAATGCCTTTTTCAGAGAACTTGAGCTTCGTCTTTAGAGGCTTTACAGGAATCCTGGAGGCAGTAGATACAATGATTTATGTCAGAGCTCCCATTTCATGTACAGGAAAAGGGAGGCCCAGAGAAAGTTGACTAAGGATGTGGAGCAAGCCAATTTCAGAAAAAATGCTAGAATGCTTTTCTTGATCATCTGATGTGCATGGAGAGTATCTTGTTTAGCTCAAATCATGAAGTCTAGAGTGGTCTGAATTTTCCAGTTTCATGAACACAAGCAAAACAAAGGCATACACAAAGGACAACAGCAGATACTGGGATTTTTGCTCTTGTTTCGCTTCCCTTTTTCCAGTTGTTTCTTCCTCATCGTTCTCTTCCTCACGTACCTTTGCCTCACGTGTCTTATTTGAACTTTTCATCTCTTAATCACCCTCTTCCCCCCCCCCAACCACGCACATACACACACATGCACAGGCCCAGTGAAGTGGAGGTGTGCTTGTCCTAATGGAGTTCCAATTACCAGCCCTGAAACATGACAGCATGACTTTTCTCCATTCTCCGGGGAGCCTGCTCCCATTTCAGCATTGCCTCTCACGGGCTATTCCCATTGGGAAACTGACAGATTCGCATCCTTCCTGTTTGGAAGCTTTCTCTTGCTTCTTGGTAGAAAGGCAGGGCTGGTTCTGAAACCACTTGAAGGCATGTCAGGTGAGTCTACATGATTTTGTCCTTGTCACCTGGGAGCTTGCCTGAGGGATGCCCTGAATCGCACAATAAGCACTGCAGGAGATGGAAACCTCATCACCACATGAACGTGTGGATCAGAGAGGAGACACTCGGGAGTCAGGCCAGGCACTTAGGTGGTGACTCATCCCAGAGCAAGGTGGGAGAAGCAACAGATGGTGACCTGCCTCTCTGCACAATCACTGCAGATATTTAAAACTAGTGCTCAGGCACCAGAGGAATTATAAAAAGGGTCAAATATAAACAGAGATAATTATAGGCATATTAAAAGAGTCAACATTCATAGGGAGAGACCAATATTATAACAGGATTTCTATCACCTGAAAAGCAAAGTGGCAAGATGACCTTTTAAAGACTTTCCCCTCTGCCTGTCCCTATACCTATATCCTTCGAAGCTCAATTCAAGTCCTTGGGCTTCCATGAAACCTTCAAGGCCAACTCTTCCTACCTTTTATTTTTCTGAACTTTTATGGCATTTGTTACCCAAATACCATCTTGTCATTTGAGACCTACAGGAAATGGACTCAAGTCTCTTATCTCTTCTCTGGTGATAAGTCCTATTTACGGACCCAGGGGGCTGTCTGCACTCTAAGGGGCTTATGTTTCCACGGTCACTTCTTGTTACTGCTGAAATCTCTGCATTACTCATACCCCATGGTATGGGTGTTCTCTTCTCTCTTCCCAGAATTTGATCGGATACAGCTCCTTTTCCTTGATATCACCAAAAATCTCCCACATAAGGCACACAGGCATTTGTGTGCACGCAGGTTTTGCAGTAGATTTGGGGTGATGAGAGTGTAGTGTGGCACCCGAAATGCTGGGAATTTCTCTTACCTAAATCCCTCTGCTTGGTTTTTAAAATTCCAAAGTAATACAGGCTCATTGTAACAATTTAAGAATTCAGAAGTATATAAAGAAAAACATAATAATGCTTTCCTATCTCCATATTTTACTCTTTGATGTAGTTAGTGTTAATAGTTCGTATCTAATCTTTCATATTTTTCTATACTTAAATAAACATATACAAAATATAGATACATACCTCTAGGAGTTTTCTCCTGTTATGAAGAAAAAAAAAACTGTCTATTTCGTATAGAGAACAGTTTAGCTTGCTCTGTCTCTGTCTCTCTTGTTCTCTCTCTTTGCACTGAATCTTACCAAACTATGCTCTAGAGCCTCAACTTTTATAACTAAAATGGACTATCAAGATATTTTGCTAAACAAAAGACCGTGAAGAAATTATACCACCTCTCTATCAGGAAAAGTGGATGTTGTCAGCTGTGGTTTTAAATAAGATTTTTTTCCCCACTCTGCTATATACTTACCATCTGTAACGTATCATTTAGAAGTTGCCTACTATACATCCTATTTCTTATCTCTTGGTTTTGAATCCCTAATTAGATTCAAATTCTGCATAAGTCTCATGCTTTACTTGACTTCTAATCAGAGTCTTGCTTATAACAAGGCAGTACTCAATAATTAAGTACTTTTTGTACTTTTGGTTCTATAATTTACAGAAACTGTCTGAATTTGGAAACTCTCTTAATTGGAAGTGGCTTTTTAATGATGTACCCTTTCCTAAGTGGGTCACGTCTGAAGTCCTTCCCCTCAAGAGCAATGACTATTGCAGGCATCCCTGAAGAATTAAGAAAAGCCAGTACTCTCATGAATGCCCATGATCTCATGTAGGAGAAAAGAAAAATGAAGCAGGACAGGGTAATGGTACGTACGGGTGGCCACCTTGGCAGTGATGGGAAGGCTGAGGATGTTGCTAATGACAGCGTAGACGCTGATGTTGTAGGTGAGACCTGGCTCCAGCTCCGTGATGGTGACACCACTCCAATCTCCAGGCACCCGCTGCTGGAGCTGGAGGCCCCCCAGGGCCGTCGGCTGGTAAGAGATCACATATTCCGTCACTGCCATCGGCCCGTCCCATTCCAGCTCAATGGACCTGTCGCTGATACCAGCCACTCGCAAGTCCTCTGGAGGGGCAACTACCAGGAGGCAATACACAGATAGCATGAGCTCAGAGGATTGCCTTCCCCATCCTGGACTCAACTTTCTTCCTCACACTGCACCCCCATGCCATGTCCTGTGTTCTCCTGGGCCCAATGGCTTTGAGTGATTTCTAATTCCCTTTTGGGCAGGTTCTCATCTTTTTTGTGCTCAGTACCCCACTCCCCGTAGAGCCCTGAGTTAGTGGTGTGCTGGAGTCAGCTTCTAGTGTCTTGTGAAAGCTGATTGTCAAGATTTCAAAAATTTTGCAAGGCTGATTGTTAAATAGAGCCATTATTAATTAAATTTTATAAACATAAGTAAATTATGTTAAAAATAAAGATAAGACTCAAAACTTATCACTTTGAAGTCATTTCACTACATTTTACTATTATCCATGCCCTTAAGGTAATTTACCTGAGCTGTGTCTCTCTGCAAATGCTACAGAATTGTGTTCTCCTGCACATCTGTTCCTAGCTGCGTGTTTAATGATGTCCTGTTGGTACTGTGAAGTTGGCCATGGAGACCGTATTTACACCATGGAAATTGGCAAATGCTACAAATCAGGGCTTTTCATTTCTTTTTTTCTTTCAGAAAAAAAATGACATATTTAACAGCACACCACTGGCCAAAATTTTTGGTAGTTTAATAAATTACTGCCATCAGATTACCCTAGGAGCCAATATCTGATTTGGCAAGTGGAGATATAGACTCATTCTTAGTTATCTTGCAAAATGAAAGAAGCCAAAACAGTAAGTCCGAGATACGTCTGATGAAGATATTCAATAACCTTTTACTGTAGTATTTTCCCTTTTATAAGGACATTATTTAAGTTTTGAAAGAAATGTAACTTGTGTTAAACTATTTTTTTTATTAGCCTTGATCTTAGAGATGATAATAAAGAAGGATTCTTGAGGGCTTTGCTTTTCTCTCTTGTCCTACTTTGCAAATGCTGCTCAGAGTCACCAAAAGTTAAACCACACTGAAATAACCTTACATGTGTGGTTCTCTTGGGAAGTGAAGATTGGCCAGTGGTGTGGGCATTAAATAGTGGAACCTTTAAGACTAATTAGGAGGCTAACTCCAGTGTGTCTGTAATTGGACCTGCCCATAGATTAAATCAAAGACCAGGCCAACATTTAGATGGTCATAGTTAGCTTATAAATTTATATGTAGTGCAGGCTTCGATTAGTTTAAGAGTTGTCATTGGTTTTGAATTTCTCCTCTGGGTAATCCCATCCTCTCACCTGTACAAGTGAGTAGGCCTAGGCTTCTGCTTTCACAAGCCTGTGCAGGTGGAGTCCCCATCTCCTTGTGCTCACAAATGCACCCTCAAATCCTTAGCAAAGGCAGAGAGGTGAGGAGCCCTTTAAGTTCTCTCAGACTCATAGGATAGAAATTAGCAGCACGTATTTGCAGTGCTGAACATTTGCTTTCATGGCTTTTGCCCCAAATCATTTATTGTATGAAACAGTTTAGTACACAGAGCTTCCTCTGATTGAAGATGGCACACATTGACCAAAACAAAAAATTTAAATTTCTTAATTTTAAATTTATAAAACTAAAGAAGTGTAAATAAAATTTAAATAATTAAACTTTCAAATGATATTTTATTAGCTTGCATCATTTATAATTCTGGCATTAGTAAAGCTTTGAACTGCACTAAGACCTTTGGGACAGCCTGTAGAATGCATACAGAATGATTCCTGGATCAGGGGAAGAAGAGCTGATATATAGAATCTGTCAGGGTTTTGCACGATTATACATTTATTATGCATTAGGCACAATGCTAACCACTTTTACATCAATTATCTCATTTTATCCTCTGTCACTAGAGATAGGCATTATTATTACTCCTATTTTACAGATGAGGTGATAGGGTCACACACGCAGCAAACACAGAAGCTAGGACTTAAAACCAGGCAGAATGACTCTGGAACCTCTTGGCCAATATACATTACCACTTTACATTTATATAGCATTTCACAGTCTATAAAACATGTTCAGATACTCCATCTAACTAGCAGTTTAGAAAACCCTTTAATAGCAGCCCTATGAGATAGTTCGGGTAGATATAATTATCCCAACTTCTACAAACGAGGAAACTGAGGCCCGGGTTAAGGGATGTGCCAAAAATCAAGGAGTTGGGTCATAGCAGAACTGATTCTTCGAGGGCCGGCCTGTGGCCCACTTGGGAGAGCGTGGTGCTGACAACACCAAGTGAAGGGTTAAGATCCCCTTACCGGTCATCTATAAAAAAACAAAAACAAAAAAAAAGAACTGATTCTCTGACCCAAATCTTCTATGTTTTGCATTCTTTACCCTACAATTTGCAGGGCAGTTTATGGACTGCACCACATGCCTTATTTCAAATATACACAGCCTCCCAAAGTAAACTACATCAGGAATAATGCAGAAGATCTTATAAGATGGGATCTCCAGAATGGTGCTCATCCTAGAAGTAAAAAACTCTTTTAAGGAAGATTCTCTGGCGCCCGTCTCTCTTGATCCAACACACTAATTCCAAATCTCTTGGGTAGGACTTCTCCTGTCATAGTGACAGAAATGGTCATTCCAAATTTCAAGTCACCAACAACTCTTAGGGCATTTGGGACAAGTCAGTATATTCCTTTTTTAGTTTTTTCTTCCAGAAAATAAATGACAATGGAGGATTACTTAAGCAGAACATTTGGGGATTTTAAAGCAGAAAGAGGTGCAGAAGATTTTTTTATTGTGGTAACCTAGCTCGCAGCCTGAGCCTTTGGTTCAGACTGAGAAAGCAGCAACAGGTGTCATTTGTGGTGGAACCAACTTGGGAGTGGTGGCTCAATGCAGGAGACCACCACCACTGCCCTGTAACGCAGCGGTAGCTGTGTTCACTGGGTGTCAGTAATCTTCATAAAACAACATATTATTGAACCGTAAAACAGACTATAAAAGAGCCTTGTGCCTTGATTCGATGAATCTATGGTGGGGGTAAAGTATTTTCAGTCTAACTTTCTTTGGGGTTGCAACTTTGAATGTTGAGGAAGAGCAGGCTGTTAAATAGCAGTAAAATGTGACTTGAGGAATCGGGGTTGTTTATCTGCAAAGATGCCATGCTGTTTACTTCTTGAATCTTGCATAAACGTTGCACTTATGTTGTGAGAGTAGTTGGAATTAGTCCTGTGGTGTGTCTTGCTCCAAAGAGCAAGTGGTTTCAGGAGCCAAAGGTTGGGCTGGCTGCCGTCCTGACAGAGGCAGAGGTTGATGAATCTCCACAGGTCTGAGTGGAGTCCAGGGAGCAGCTTTCTGGATCGCTCAAGACCCTGCTCTGGTGGTTCTTTTCTCTTGCTGACTTATGGGGAGTTTTGGCCAGCTCACTGGCCACCTCCTGCCCTCACCGCCATCGCTGGGGGCAGATGCGGATAAGTGGTTTAATGTGCTTCTCTACACCAACTCCAACACCTCATTTTTAATTATTTGCTAAGGCTCAGCTTTCATATCAAAAGGCGACGCCATTGCATATGTGGCTTTAAAATTTTTAGTTTTCAATTCCATTCTACTTAACATCCCGGAGAGGATTAAAAACGCTGGGAGACCAGCGTTCTCACTCTTACTCTGCCATTAATTAGCTGCCTGGCTCTGGGAAAATCTCTCCAACTCTCTTAAAAGACTGCTGCTTTTAAACGAGAAGCCCAGAGCCGCTTCTTTCTAAGGCCTGTTTTAAGTACTCATATTCATGATTTTTTGGTCTTACTATCTTTACACAGGCACAGAATGGAGGCAGAAAGCTTGAGATTTTGTCCCTTGGCATACTACGGGCACACATCAAGGCTAGGTGTCAAAGGCAGTGGCCTTGAGGATGCTATTCAATTGCATTCAAGCGCTGGAGTCACAGACCTAGGGGGCCTCAGAGTAAAATCCACACAGTGGGCAGCTATTTTCCATGCCCTTGCCACAGAGAAAAGAAAGACCTGTAAAGAAGTATATTTTGTGGCTCTCCGTGTTTTCACCTTCCTAACTCTTCTCTCTCCTCTCCTCTCTCCTGTGGGCAATGGAGCAGTTGTGCTGCGGTGTGTGCACCTAGTCAGAAATGTCAAACGGTAGATGAATAGCCCCTTCTCCTACAGCCTTTTCACAAAGAGCAAGCAGAGCAGCACTTTAGATAATGACCTGGATACTTCTCTGGAAGAAACCTGTGGCACTTGGTTGAAAAGGTAGGCACTGAGAACAGCACCTCCCACGATGACTGGTGGATCCAGGGTTGCTATAGAAACAGATGGAGATTATGCAACTGTCCTTCCTCACATGCTTCAGGAATCTGTAAGGTAATTTATCTGGGCCTGCAGAAGTCTTCCTCAAGCAACACAGAGGTCACATGTCGGTGGTAACACCTGCTCATGGTTGGGACTCAACCCAACTGTAGCTTTCCTAGCAGCCTTCCCGAGCTGAGTGGGAGGGTTTATTTCCATTTCAGATTGGACCCTGGCTCAGATGAAGATTTTGTTTGCAAATGGACACATGTCTGTAGAAGAACAGAGTCAAGAACATGACAGGTGTGTCCAGGCCAACAGGGATTGAGTTTATTAAGAAGCGTGTGTGCAATAAAATAGCATTAACATAGCAATAGCCCAAACTGAACATCAGTATCCTCCAGGCGGGGACTTGTGGAGCGTCATCCTCCAGGTGGGAACTAGGACCAGGCTTCAGCCTTGCTTCCCAGCAACTGAATTGTTTGAATTCAGAAACAATAAGGCGTAACTTCTCGAATTTCACTTTGAAACAGTTGGTATAATGACTATATATTTAGAAAGGTATTTCAATTCAGCAAACAAGATTGGCAGGCTAAATGAAATAATTGAATTTGGGAAAAAATTAAGGAACATGAAAATATTTTTTTCCTAAGCAGTGCATTATCGTTTTTCTTTTCGTCGTTGCCATTGACATTTTAAAAGAATTTAGGCCACAGTTGCAGGTGCAAGAACCTGGTCTGCCATCCACGAAGGCTGGTGAAGCTGCCTTCCACGATTTCTTCCTTACACTCATGTCAAGTGACTGATCAGAAGATTCCTAGAATCACTCAATTAGAAGGTTTTAAAAAAATTTGCTGTTCTTTTTTTTATCTTAAATCTTCCCAGTGGAAACTCTGAGCCCTAAATGGAAAGGATCAATTACTTGATCTGCACTGTTTAAAACACAAACATATCTATGAGCAATAGTCACTGACTTAGTCAGAAGAGAATGAACAAGTGAAATAATGAAAATAATCTGATTTGGGGCAAAAAAAAAAAAAAGAAAGAAACCCGCCAAAACCAAAAAATAACCAAAGGACAAGAATCAGCCCCAATGAGAAAGCAGTATGATTCCCACTGTTGGATTTAGATCTCCATTTCAGGACATCACCGTTCTATCAGTTTCCACAGTGCAGACTACATATGTGTTGATTCCAATGTGCTATAGAGTCGTCTGGAACAAAGTGAGTCATATTCTTTTAGTATTCTGTACTAGTTGTTAGAACGTTAGTTTTGCTCAATACCTTTATTGTTTCTTCCTATTTACATTTAATTCCTTGCCTACAAACACTTTCTTCATGTGGACACTAGATTATTTCACAAATCAATAACACCTTGCAATCTGTAACCTCCACGACAGCCAGAGAGTGTCACAGGCCAACCACCATTTCTTGCAGGAGCATTGTAAAGGGCAGGGGTCCCTGGTATGTGGCAACAGGTGAGAGAGATATTTTTGAGCAGGTGGAACTCTTGGAATCCATCTGAGTTAGAGAACAGCCTTGACTAAGGTGGTCCTGTGACCTTTCCCCACCCTCCCCCACCTCAGGGAAAATGGAGTTTTATTGTCATTTCACCACAGCCTGTGATCCAGTCCCAGGGGTAACATAAAGCACTCAGCCAGAACTTGACCTTTTCTGACTTTCTCCTCTTCCACCCTTTAATCTGCTTTATCAATTGTTATTGACTCAAGAAATCAGCTCACTTGGAAATCAAATGAGAACAACCCAATTGGGAATGGCCCTGTCTAAAATTCGCCTTCCCTGCCATCCCTCTTCCCACTTAACCAGAGGGATGCACCCCACGGAGTTCTCCTTCCTACCTGCCGAGCAGTCAGGGCCCTGGTAGCCCTCTTCACAGACGCAGATCCCCTCCTGGCAGTGCCCACGCCCACTGCAGGCGTTCAGACACCTCCGCTGGCTGCAGTCCTCGCCCACGTAGCCCTCCTGGCATACGCATGTACCGTTGGCACATGTCCCCTTCCCCGAGCAGTCCGCTGGGCACCTCAGCTCCCTGCAGTCCTCGCCCATGTAGGGCTCCTCACACACGCATTCTCCGTCCACGCACAGCCCCCGGGAGCTGCAGTCTGTCGGGCACCGGAGTTCGGAGCAGTCGTCCCCGCTGTATTCGCTGTCACAGATGCACTGGCCGTCCACACACACGCCACGACTGGAGCAGCCCAGAGGGCAGTAGGGCTCTGAGCAGTTCTTGCCAAACCAACCTTCGTTGCAGATGCAGCCGCAGGACTCGAAGCTAAAGTTGCCGTGGCCGCTGCAGTGGGGAATATAGTCCAGTTGTCCTGGAATGGTCAAGGAGAACGTCAAAGGGCAGCAGTGGCCTCTCCTGTAAATGGTGCTGGGGAGAGGTGGGCAGAGACCTCTACTCATTCTCTGATTAGATTAGCATTGCTCAGAGCTAAGCTCAACATACTTTGGTACATCTTCAATTTCATAAATATTTTCATCTAATGTGGGATGTGCTGGGGGCAATGATGGATGAGATCTAGTCCTTTGTCCTCCAAAAGCTCACATTCAGGGTGTCTTAAGTTGGCTTCCATAGAAGTAGACCTTAGAGAAAGATTCATGTGAGTGACTTCTTGGAAGGTGGTCCCAGGAAAAACTGGTGGTGCAGAGGGGGGATGGGGAGGGGTGGGGTGAGAGCCAAGTCCCAGGGAGAGTAACTTGGGTTCAGTCCCACAGGGCACTCTGGAAACAGTGCAGGTCACACCACATCAGGGGCTAAGGACTGTCCCTGAGGGCATGTAAATTCCCAGGCCCTTCATTCTCTCTTTGGGCAGGCCAAGGAAGTTCTGAGGACAACCCTTGGACAAAGATACCAGGTGCTGGCTGTGGGGACTGAGAGGGATCTGAGGCAATATAGACTGAGCACTGAGTTGCTATGCAGAGGAAGGTCACATGTGTTACAAGCCTGTCCTACTCCCCCTTCCTGCTATCTACTCTACTTCTTTGTCAAAACTCAGGGCCAGCATTACTTCAAAGGCTTCCCAAAGCCTCGGTCTCATTTAGTTACCATTGTGTTCAGGATTCCATGCATATCAGCCCTAGCCCTGACCGCAGTATAGCTACAGTGGTTAATCTATCCATCTAGCACGAATCAAACACAATTATTACACAAACACAAACTGAATACCAGCTCGGCATCCTTCCCTGAACTTGGTCCCAAGGATGTGAAGTACAGTAAGTTATATCCTTGTTTAATTCTGCCACTTCATGCAGCCCCATGGCCTGAAAAGATACTACACTGACATTGCTTAACATAGATCTTCCTTGTAGATTTGTTTTCATGTCTGCCAGGGATCCTGGTGGGAGGCTGGTAAAAATCCACTTATAGAAGCCACCCTGGCTTCCTGAGCAACACAGATTCCATGTCCATGAAAATCTATGACTTGTCCTTATTCTCCAGCTCCATTGCAAAGACGAACTGATCTGACACTACTCCCTAAAGAACAGGAGACTAAACAACTGGACTTCCTCCTCTTTTCTTTGAATTGTTTACTTACAATGCTGGTTATGGGGAGGAGAAGGAGGTGAGAGAAACCCATGAAATATTTTATTACTCAAAGACTGCCTCTAATCTTGCTGTGTCTCAGGATGAATATGCCTTATATCCCTCCAAGCTGTGGGCCATCTGGGCTCTGTTAAAATCCTACCCCTGCCACATCCTGCTTTCATCCCTGTGAAAGCTTTGAGATCTCGGACGAGATCTTGGGGCGAATGCTTGAACCCAAGATAATCAGACAAATGCCTCTTCTCATTAAAGAGCTGAATCATATGGGTCTAAGGTAGCTTTTGGGTGAGAAAAGCTGAGCACAAAAGGGGGCCGGCACAATTCCTGCTTGTTAAGGGTCAGCTGATAACAGCTATTGCTTACATGGTGCTGACTAGATATCAGGCTCTCATCTGAACAGGTGCTTCTATATGTAATGACTCCTTGGGGCTCTAGTCTATCACCACTAGTGGGTGGGAAAGAAAGGCCCAGGTTATGTAACCTAGGAAGTAGCAGGGCTAGGAATTGAACTTGGGGAGTCTGGGTCTAAAGACTTCATCACTCAGAGATAAAGAGTAACTCATAAACGTTACTAGTTAGGGGGTGGGTGAGTCTTGGGGTAAAAGCCCTGAACATTCAGCCTTTTGGAGGGTGGAATAAGTTGTGAGTGCATTGTTGGTGACAGCACATGTGTGTGTGAGTGTGTATGTGTGCACACACGTGTGTTTGTGGAAGGGGCAAGGGACAAAACTTCCATCTTGCTGGAGAGGATGGGGACAGGTCCTCTGAGAGCTTAATGACTGTCATTTACTCAGATGGGAATAAGGCTATGACTGAGTGAACAGAGCGTCTGCGTCCTCTAGTCCCTCAGGTTAACGTGGATAGATATCAATTCAACAGCCTGTGAAAACCAAAGATGAATGAAGACAGACATCAAATTCCCCACCGCCCTCCAAGTTGCTGTGTCGAACTGATGTATCATTACCAGACTCATCCCCCCAAAATCAGGTTAATGTATTTCAGACTGGCTAAGCAGTGTAGAGAATCCCTGAACTGAATCTCCCGGGAAGGACTGCATTTAGCTCTTAGAGACATTAACCCAGAGCTACAGACTAGGACGCTGTTTTCCCTGGACCATGTGAAGAGAAGCAGGAGTGCCTCGCTCTGTCATTTATCCTCCCTCGCTTCCCAGCCCTCCCTCCCCTCCGGAGACCACGGTGCAAGCTCCCCGGACTGTACCTGTGGCAGCGCTTTCTTGGCAGCAGCTGGTGCTGCACTGGTCCCGCAGTACTGACACCTCCCGCTCCAGCATCTCGATCCGGCTCAGCAGATCCTGCAGCATCTGGGCCGAGCCGGCACACGGGCAGACCCTTTTGGGGAGGTTGATCCTGTGGGTGAAGGTGACCTGGCTCTCGTGGTCTGAGGTCTGGCCCGTGTACTCTGCCAGAGTCTCGTCTTCGGCACTCACTTCCTGCTCAGCCGACGCCTCCAGCCCCGACGAGCAGAGGCTGTCCAGGGGCACGTTAATGTTGTACACGTGGTGGAAGACCACAGGCTGCTCTTTGCTCGATGTGTTGTAGTTGGCCATGCTGCCTGCCTCCTCCGCTGCCTGTCTCTGGACCCTCTCTGTGGTGACTTCTAGCTGACACTCCGAGGGCTTGAGCATGGAGCCCAGAAGGATCAGGTTGACACCGATGAGCATGTTCTTAAGGACCACGGTTTCCCCGTCCACCCCCATCCTCTCAGCTAGAGCTCTGGTTCAAGCCCAGCCTGCAGCACACGGCATGGAGTTGTGGGAATCTGCAAGAGAGAATGAGGAACGAGACAACCTCTGAGGTGGGCGCCTTGGCACGAGGGCTCTGCACAATCCTATAGAGTTAAAGAGTAGGAAGCCAATGATTTCTGAGGGTGGTGTTGGGAAGGGACAATGGCTGCCAAGGTGATGAAGGCCCATGACTTTGGCCCCTAGAGGACTGGATCCCTGAAAATGGACACTGCCTTTGTAGAAGGCCACTTTGTTTTCCCAAAAGGCTTATCTAAAGCAGGAGTCTGACCCCCATGGTGGATAGGTGGTTCCTAGAGGACACACTAGGGCTGTGGGCTGGGGACTTTGCAGATAGACTATATCTCTGCAGACTCAGGCCTTCCTTTCACTTCTGGGTGAGAATTAGGATAAGTGGGACCATGGAGCCTAAGGTGCACTCTCCTATCTCCCAGATATTTATTATCAAGGGGCTCTACCAGCCACTTCAAAATAACTTTTTCATTAACTCCTCTAAGCTCATCTGTTCAATACAGGTTGGCTTTAGAATAACTAACCAGGCAAATAATATAGTTCCAATTAATTGTGTTTGTTAACGATCCTTGGATACATTTGTGATTATCTGAGACCATGTGAGCTGAACTTTCTTTTAATCTTCTCATTAGTACAGCCCCAGGGATCTGTGACCACAGGACGCCTTTCTTGCAAGTTACTGTTTAAATTGCTAAAATAATAAATTAGCTTCTGTGCTGGTTACCTAGTCACCAACAACCATAGCGTACAATAAATTCAAGGTAAAGCAAATCAGTTTTACAAAAATTATATTCCTTTTGTGTTCTCTATGTAAAAGAGAAAAAAGACTTAGAAACTTTGGTTCTAGAGGTAATGTTGGAGCTACTAAGAAGATCAAGAACGAAGGGACCAGGAGAGAGTAATTATGAGTCTGAGAAGACGGTAACAAGGGCATCCAACATTTCCTGCATGTGTGCTGTGTATGGACTATGCTGGGCACCTCCCATCTGATCTTACTTGACCCTCAGGACAACTCCATCAGGGGGCATTATGATCACCCCCATCTTAGGATGGAGGGAATTCTTCCTAGAGAGACTGAGATTTGAATGCAGGCCTGACTGACTGCAAAACCTGTGTTCTTAACTACTATGCCCCAGGGCCTTTCTTGAAAACAGTGTGCAATTTTCTCTTATCTCTGATAGAAATTGTATAAGTCCTAGGATTTTCCCAAGAATCTTGAGATAAGAAAATTTTGTGAGGGCAAGATTCAATATTTCTTCCTCCGTGAGCATTCATTTCTCCTCATCTTTTCTTCATCTATCTCCCCAAACTCAGGCTGCATTAATGGCCATTCTTCCCTGAGCCCCATCTTACAAAACTTGCCATACCAGACCATGGTTTTCTTTGCCTGATTCTCTCCACCTGCACTGTTAAGTCAATTTAGGTCGGACCATGTCTTATCTGCAGCATGTGACCGTGGGTCTAGGACAGTGGAAGTACTCAGTACATAGTTGTCAAATGAATGCAGGAGTAGATGCATGGAAGGATGGAAAGATGAATTCATGAGCAAACACTCTGTGAGCAAAGGGCTAAATCATTCTCCAACTTATTCCGTCCCTCTCCATTATCCTCAAGTTACTCACTGTTTCCTTCCATTTTCGTTCTGGGTGATGTCTGGGGGTTGGTTTTATCAGGAGTAACCTGTATTAGTAATTAGTATAAAAGCCACGTCTTATTACTCAGCCCTCATATTACATACTGGACTATAATCTGTCCCTGTTTCCTTATGCAGAGGAAGCAGAAAAGAGGAAAGCTGTTGAGACCATGGACTCTGCAGCCAGACTGCCTAGGTTCAAACTTCAGCTCCAACACTTTCTAGCTGTGGGAAGATCACTTAACCTCTCTCTCTGAGCCTCAGTCTCCCCACCTATAAAGTGGAGATAATAATGGCATGTATCTTATAAGATTTGAGTGATTATTGAGTCATTATCTGTATAATACTTATCTAGTACCTGGCATTAACTGAAATAAATAAACATGGTTTGTGGACAAGTGGAATAATTATTCTCATTCTCCACCTACTCAAGGACTGCCCATAGGAAATGTCTCATCCATCGGCGGACAGAAGAAAAGCCCAGTCCTTAGCATACTCTTGCCCAAAGATGGGTGAAGTCCCTGAGTGAAGTGGGAGATGGCAATCCATTGGTCACTTCCAGATGAGGCAAATCAACCTTAGGGTAGGTGGAGTGACATGTCTGGACAAAATTGTCCTCATGACTGTGAGCTCTTCCCCAGCCCCCCTCGCCCCCCTCCAAGGCACTACTTGCCTTCCCATTTTTAGGTGCTCAAGGCATCCTTGGAGTGTTACTTCTGCCCTTTGGAAAAGCTTCCAGGAATGGTTCTGCTGTCAGTCATTTGCACACAGAAGGGGCCTTGGCTGTCTTCTCTTACTGAACTAAAATTTGCTTATCTGATCCGTGTTGATGTTTCTTCTAAATACCTTTTTGCTTCAGGGAATTGTAAAATGATCATACAACTTCTCATAGCACTTAAAGTAGCTTTTTTTGCTCATGGTAGACACTCAATAAATAATTGAATGAATAAATGATATTTTAAATGAAAATGAAGACAAGTGACAAGAAAATTAAGAAGGAAAAAATGTTAGTTTTTACATTTAGGTCCAAAACAATAGCTACAAAATTATAGAGAGAAGGAAAGGTGCAGCTTTATGTATGAAAAAATCCCAAATTTTATTCAATAACTAAACTTATTATGAGTCAGTCAACAGTATGATTTTTGTAACCCCTGAAGTCTTTTATTTAAACTTAGGCTTTCTTAATTGTAATACAGAGTAAAGGATAGAGAGGGGTTACTCTCTGTCTACTGCAGTGACCATTGAGCACTTCTGGGTGGCCAGGACGTTGAAGGACTAAAAATCTTGTCATATGAGAGGCAAGAATTTAGCTCTTTGGTCCAAAAATATGAAGACTCGGGGAGTACATTTGTTTCTTTATCATTTATTCATCTGACGGATATTGTTTATTGAGTACCTACTATGTGCTGGTCCTTGTATTCATTAGAAGTTATATTCAAGTGTGTTGGGGGGGGAAGCAGGAAGGAGAGACAGACAATAAATAAATACCAAAAATAATTATATACGTACCATATGCAATGCATTATATAATACAAATGACATGATACTGAATATATGGCAATGGAACATACGTCAGTGTGTGTTTGTGTCAGGAAGTGGTAAGTGCTGTGGAGAGAAATAAGCGAAGACAAGGGAGTGGAGGGGTTGACGGGTGGGGGTCATGTTGATATTTACAGCGCATGGTCGGGAGAGGCTTCTCTGATAAGGTGACAGCTGAACAGAGACCTGGCAGAAGTGGGGTGGTGAGGTGGGCAGAGGGCCGGGGAAGTGCAGCCTGGCTGCAGGGAACATCGAGTGTGGGGCTTGGGGCGGGGGTGGCGTGATGAGTGTGAGGGACAGTGGCTGGGGCCGGGAGAGCAAGGCCAGACATGGAGAGATGTGGCCAGAGAGCAGCGGGGCCGGACCGTGGACAGCCCTGTACACCCCTGTAAGGACTTTGGCCTTTACTGGGTTATATGGTCACTGTTCTCAAATGCATCCAACTATCCAACAGTTATTATGACCTAGTCCTTGTCCTCAAGAAATGCTTAGTCTCACAGAGGAGATGAAAACACAAGTAAATATAATGACAATGCAACGTGACAATTACCACGACTAGCGAATACACAAAATGCCCTGAGAGGGCGGGGATGGCACAAGTAACTCTGCCAGGAGCAGCAGGGAAGGCTACACAGGGTGGGCTGGAGGGCCATCAGGGCCATCTGCCAAGTGTTGCGTGCCTGGGCTACGCTGTCCAGCTCCCTCTAGGCTAGGTGAGGCCATGTCACTAGTTCTGGCCAGTGAGCTGTGAGAGGAAATTGTGTGTGCCACTTCTGGGATGGTGTGTCCAATTGCTGAGGGGAGACCCTCCAGAACTTTCTCCCCACCACATGGTGACCGGTGTTCAAAACAGTCGCTGATCTGTCAGTCTGGGTCCCCAAGTGACCACTATAGAGTCTCCTGGCTGATTCATGGTAGATGTTTAGTGTGTGAGAGAAAAAAAAACCAATTCTTTGGTTTCTGATGCACAGATTTGGGGATTGCTCTTCCCGTAACCTAGTCTATCAGGAGATAACATCAAACTGGATTTTAATGAATTACTCTTTAGGTAGAGAAGGCAAAAGTTATTCCACACAGAAGAAATTATACTTGCTAAAACTCTGATATGTGCAAGAACATGGCTTGTCCAATGAATGCAAGTATTTGAAGGACTCTCGAATGCTAAGGGATTGGATCTTTACATGGCCAAAGGTCCCAGGGAGGTAGTTTCCACCAAATGGGGGGTTCTCATGTAACATATTTGGGCTCAATATAAAGAATAGCTTTTCTAATATGAGAGTTACTGGGTTGTCATGATAGGTAGGTGAGCCCTGGTCACTGGAGGTGTTCAGGCACAAGCAAAACACTACCTGAGGTTTGCAAGCATCAGATGAGAGGCTGGACTAAAATGAACATTAGGGTCTTGCCTTTTTTGGTACTTTATAAATTCATGTCTNGTGGACAGCCCTGTACACCCCTGTAAGGACTTTGGCCTTTACTGGGTTATATGGTCACTGTTCTCAAATGCATCCAACTATCCAACAGTTATTATGACCTAGTCCTTGTCCTCAAGAAATGCTTAGTCTCACAGAGGAGATGAAAACACAAGTAAATATAATGACAATGCAACGTGACAATTACCACGACTAGCGAATACACAAAATGCCCTGAGAGGGCGGGGATGGCACAAGTAACTCTGCCAGGAGCAGCAGGGAAGGCTACACAGGGTGGGCTGGAGGGCCATCAGGGCCATCTGCCAAGTGTTGCGTGCCTGGGCTACGTTGTCCAGCTCCCTCTAGGCTAGGTGAGGCCATGTCACTAGTTCTGGCCAGTGAGCTGTGAGAGGAAATTGTGTG